ACACACACACACACACACACACACACACACACACACACACACACACACACACACACACACACACACCTTGGCCTTACACCAAGTGGGGAAAAAACCCTGCAGGCTCCCCTGACATGCAACCCTTCACATCTCCCCGCAGAGACAGCCCTCCCACCGCCCCCTCCTCCGCATCACCCCCAGTGGGGGAAGCTTTGATGCCGGCGCTGAAAGGGTCTACTTACATCCCAAATCTCCAGGCTACGTGATCGTCTGTGATCCAGCTGGGGGAAGAGAGAGAGAGAGAGAGAGAGAGTGGTGAGGGGGTTACAAAGGAAAGGGAGAGCGTGAGCGGAAGACAGACTTGTGTGACTGCGGAGGGGGAAAGCTGTGCAGCTGTAGCTATTAATAAGCTGCGAGTGGAAAGAGAGAGCCGAGCCCGGAGATTAAGACTGTCCCAATTCTCATTCCTCTGGTCCGGCCTCTTCCCCTATCCCTCACCCCTTTGACTTCCCTCTAAACAAATGATGCCTTTTCTATTCACAAAAAGAAGCTGAAGAGTCTGAGGGAGTGTTTTACGGTTCAAAAGATATTCTGATAATTGCCAATTTTGATCACATAAAATCTTATGAGAGAAGAAGCCTGTCTGGAGCTGGACTGAGGCCATTAATGTGGCCCTCTTTGAAAGGAAATATATTTAACAGCAAATCTGCTGTGGAAGGCTGAAGAAACGTAAAAACTAAGCTGCAGCTGGGCTGTACTCACCACCAAGCTCCCGCGGGGCCGTAGTATCCCTTCAGCAGCGGCAAAGAGGCCATGACTAGAGGCACCCCCCACGCCATCAAATGGTACAACCTGATAAAAGACAGACATTTATTTCGTTATAGGCCCAGAGAACAGGGAGCTTCGCAGAGAGAGAAAAAAAAACTACTAAATCAATTATTTTCTTCCGCTCATCCCTTTGTTGCCACCGACATCAGGGTCATTTTTCAGGTGCAGACAAATGCCTATACAGCCAGAGTGCCAATTACTCATGGTAATTTAAACCATAATTACTCTCAGTGTTGCGGAAAAGATGATTCGCAGAGATATGTCTGCATAAAACCACAAGCAGGATGTGGAGTCTCACTCAGAGGGGCTAGTGACAAAATATATGTAGTCAAAGCAGGATAGACTTCATCGCCCATGTATAAAGAAAATGGTTAATAAGAGAGAGGCTCTGACTGGATATCAATTAAAAAACGATAGGATCGCTAAGAAGTTTTAAAAATCTCAATCACTGAACTCTGTGTGTGTCAGTGTCCGACAGATGAGGTGTGCGCTCCAGTGTCTTGGGCGTAGGTGTGGGCGTCGATAGTTTATAGAGCGTATAGCGTCGCTCGGTCAATAGAGGGAAGTCCTCGATGACTTGTTCCAAGTGTGGTCAATCGAGCGGTGGCGACACGGCTGATACACACTCAATCCCTCTCGGCTTGTGCGGCACAGACACACACACACACTCTCACTCTGATTACACTGGGTGACACTGTATCTCCCCTCTCTGCCCTCAGCTGATGGACAGCGGTGTGAGAGTGTGTGGAGAAAGGGAGACGTCTGGAGGTTTGAAAAGGGCAGAATAGTGGGTGGGAAAGAGACATATGAAATGTAAAGGTCCAAAGAGAGAGGGAGAGAGTTTGGATCCTACACAAGACGGGGAGCGAGAGAAAAGAAAACAAGGAAGCACGAAAAAAAGCAGGGAAATGGTGGGAGCGCTAAAAGCGAAAGAGACACAGACAAAGAGAGAGAAAGTGTGTGTGGTGGTGGGAGGAGAGATATAAATGGTAAAATCAGTCCTGCCAGTCGGTGGTGTGATGATTGGTGCAAGGGNNNGGGGGGGGGGAGGCTTGTCAGGAAATCAATGTCGAGAGCCGGCAGCCCCGCAGACACACACTCGCACACAGGCGCACTGCAGCTCACACACCTCACACTCGCAGCGCTTTGAGAGGGAGATGACGAGGTCCGGAGCTGCGCTCAACATGGGCTTAATGAGGCACAGCAGGGCTGCTCTGCTCCACACACACACACACACACACACACACACACACACACACACACACACACACACACACACACACACACACACACACACACACACACACACACACACACACACACACACCTCTCTTAGGGCTCAATCTCATTCCTCACAGCCTCACACCACTTTGTCTTCTTTGCCTGAATCTGTCCTTCAAACACACATAAACACACTACCCATCCTCTCTTGCATCCACTTCAATCACGCTTAGATCATCAGGCCTCCGTTCCCCATCTCCTCTAGCCATTTCTTCATTCATAAACCATCACACTGCGCCATCAGTCAGTCTCTGTGTGTGTGTGTGTGTGTGTGTGTGTGTGTGTGTGTGTGTGTGTGTGTGTGTGTGTGTGTGTGTGTGTGTGTGTGTGTGTGTGTGTGTGTGTGTGAGA